AAACAAAAAGTTTTAAAAAACAGTCAAAAATTCAACTTTTCCGAAGGTCATGACTTTTTGTGAAAAATAATTTAGGCGTAACCACTGATGCAGGGCAGCTTCTCATAACCTGATCTACCCAATGAACCAAATATCGCAGATTTGCAAAACTTTCGAGAAAATGTAAAAAAATTCAAAAAAATTGGGTACAAAAATCCCCCCATTCATTTTTTCGAAGGCTGTAGAAAGTGAGGTAAGGTAAAAAGACGATAGGGGATTATGCAGGCACAGAATGTAGTTACAGGACTTCCAATTAAAACTACTATTTTGAAAACCGGCTGTATTTTTTGAGAAAAAAGAAAAAAATATATTAATAATAATAATACAAAACCCGATGCCATACATTTACATCAACCTGATCTTATCAAATAGGAACCAGAAGCCACCTTAAATTTGAAATACCTGTATGATATTTCATATAATTTTTGTATTGATGCGGAAGGAGAAGGGTAATAAAAAAAACAGACCTATAGCAAAAAAAATTGAATTCCAATTAATGACTTCAAAATCAGTTAATTTTAATAATGACTTTATTTTCTTTAAACTGCGTCGTAACTTTTGGTGTTAACAAACCTAGGCGTAATCGTTTATGCAGAGGTGCTTCCCACAACCCATTCTACTTATTGAAACTAAAACCTCAGATTTTCAAAAAGTAGTTTTCGAGAAAAATCGACAAGTTTCAAAAAACAGTCTAAAAAACGTGAATTTGATTTTTCTGAGGGTCATAGCATTTTGTCGGAAGAAAATTGAGCGTAACTAAAAAGGCAGGGGAATTCTCTACAACCCGTCCGTTCGATAAAAACTAAAATACCAGATTTGGGAGGCTAGTTTTCCAGAAAAGTGTAGTTTCAGAAAATGGTCAAAAAATCGAAAGTTGACTATTTTGAGGACCCTTAGTTTTTGTGGAAATTTGAGCCTAGCCGCTTATCCAGAGGAGCTTTTCACAACCTGTTCCAATCATTGAACCTATAATCGCAGATTTGCGTGTGTAGTTTTTGAGAAATTGTATAAAATCCAAAAACGTAGGTAAAAAGTTCACCCCACACATTTTTTCGAAGGCTGAATAAAGTGGGGTAAAGTAAAAAGAGGATAAGGGAGTATGTAGGTACACAAGGGAGTGGCCGAAGTTCTCATTGGTACCACTCTTTCGAGAAAAACGAATATTTTGCAAAACGTCTCAAAAAAATGATAAAAACAGGTATTATGAAAATGTATGGGATGGGGTTTTTTTAAACTATTTTTGAGACGTTTTGCAAATATATAATTTAGGTTTTATAGAGAACTTAAATTTGCTGTTTTTCGTAGATGTGTCGTAGAAAAAATCATACCAAACCTGGCTGCGGTTTTATTACCCAAGCAATGCTTGTGTTAACGTACGAACTCATTTTTTTTCCAACCTGACTCGCGAATATTGTTGCGACGCAATTATTGTTGCAACAAAATGTGTTCAATTTGAAAGTTTTCATTTTGATCAAAAACCAGCTATTAAATACAGCCAATACTAAGGAAATTAACACAGACTATTTTATTGCAAATTCCTGTTTGATTAAAACAGCTATTATGAAAGTGCATGTGATCGAGTTTTTATTTAACAGGAATTTGTAATAAAATAGTCTGTGTTAATATCCTTCGCATTGGCTGTATTTAATAGCTGGTTATTGATCAAAATGAACACATTTTGTTGCAGCACTAATCAGACTTGTTAACGGGCAGCCATAATTGAATCCCGGCAAGATATAATTCAAGTCGAGCCCGTTGGCGGCCCGATAAACAGGGAATTTATGAAATATCGGCCCGTTGGGGCCCGTTGCTGCTTTTTGGTAAAAAAAAAACAAATTTGTTTCAAATTAATTTTAATTAATTGTTTTACTTATTTATAAAGACCTTTCTTAAAAGCCATGGAAACCATTTCAATTGCCTCAACGGTTGTAGGCGAAAGTTTTGCCCGTCTTTCGGATACCGTCAGACCGCAATCTGAAACATAACATTGGTTAGTCAATAAAAGTAAGGCCCGTTGGGGCCCGTTGACAAAAGTGAAAACCTCGGCCCGGCCCGGCACGGCCCACGGGCGGCCCGGCCCGTTGACAAGTATATTTCTTGAATATTTGCGACTTAAGTTGGAAAGAAAAGTGAGTTCGTACGTTAACACAAGCATTGCTTGGGTAATAAAACCGCAGCCAGGTGTGGTATGATTTTTACAACACAATTACGAAAAACAGCAAATTTAAGTTCTCTTTAAAACTTAAATTCTATTTTTGAAATTCACACAAGCTGGAACTTGTTATTTTTGGCAGCATTGTAGTTTTAATACTTGCAAAACGTTAAATTTGATTAGGATCATGAGACTCTGGAGTATGACGTATTGCCCTGTGAATGCCCTTTATTTAACGCTGTATATCTTCATAAGTATCTTCAAATATTTTTTGAAACTTAATTGAATACAGCGTTTATTGAGCTTTTTCTCCCGGCTGCCAAAATTTGTCAAGTTAAGGCCACAGTTAAGGCAGTTAGTTGTTTCTTTGATAAACGTGACATGATGCACATATAAGCTCAAATACCACTGGTGGAGACGAGTCATAGGCTTTCGAGGCACCCGATTCAGCAAGATGCTAGTTGGAATTAACTTGGACCGGTATGCTCAATTTGCGAAGCCGGAATGATTGTCTACAGCTTCCTTAGCTTGCTCTTTGCAGTTGGACTCCGCAGGCGTCTTGCCACTGGATTTTTAGTTTTTAACAATCTTATTGGTAGTTTTTTTTTGGAAATAGTTTGACATTCCAGCTAAAAGTTATTCTGAATAGTTTCGCATTGTCAGTTTTGTGAACAATTTGATGAAAACTAGTTGAGTGAAAAATATTCAAAAAGGAGAAGTCTGAATACACTCGATCATTTGCAATTGCTGTTATGGTATCTCAAATACAGTTTTCAAATTTCCATCTTATTTTGAAGCTGAAATCAAACTGCGCGTCTATTTGATAGAATAGCCGAATGCAGAGAAAGTTTCATTCCTCGCTGGCTAACTTGCTGCACCACATACGAAATTTGACAGAGGCGAAGCTGAGATTCGCACCACTTCCGATACAAAACAAGAAAAAATAAGATATAGAAAATAGACCAGTGCCCGTTAACTACCTTGAAACCACAATATCAGAAATGAGATGTTAGTTTTCGATATAAGTCAAGAATCACAAATCAAAGTGGACTATTCCCAAAGACAAAACTTTTGGAGCAGAAAAAAATTGGACGTATCCGCTAATTTATTTATTTATTTAAATATTCATCATGAGTAATCAAATTATCAAAACACAATATGCAAAAATTCAAAGATAACTCATGATAGGACAACCAGAAAGCCAACGAGAGGCTTGTTGAAGGTTGCCCCGTAAAGGACATCATATCACATCATATGACATCAGATCAAAAGGTTCAATAATTAATTTAGGTCAAAGAGGCAAATTTAAAGCGAAAAAAAAAACGAGACTTAAATAGTGCAATCACTCTTTTTTTTTTAAATTTAAGATCTTTATTCTTTAACATGAGAACTAGAGATATCATGCAAGCTTATACTTACAAGGGTATACAACTGACAGCGGGCGGATGCGAAATAATGACTGTTAATTTAATTAGCGAGCAAGTGGGCCCAGTTCTTAAGAGCTGGTAATCCAGTTGTTCGCTTTTTTCTAACTCCCAGGGGAGCTTTTCTAATGCAGGGGAGCTTTTCTAAACAATTCTAATCATTCAAATCAAAAATCAGATTTGAGGGGCAGTTATCGAGAAAACGAAAAAAAAAATCAAAAATATGGGTCAAATAATCCACCACTTTTTCGAAGGCGGTACAGAGGGTTCGGTCAAGTAGAAGAAAACTCTAGGGGAGTATTCAGGCACACAGGGAAGTAAGCAGTCTTTCCATTGATACCTTTTTTTGAAACTATAGAAAAATACTTTTTGCAAGATGTGAAAACATTTTTTAGGACGAAAAACAGTTCGAAGCCTATCCAGTGCAGTATGTTCCTGATTCCATAGACAAGTCTTCAAACATGTTAAAAATTTGTCGGAACGCTCAAAATGAATGAACAAAGTGAGCGTCCTTGTTGCGGATTTCGCTTACAACGCACAGTTTGGCCTCGTACTGAAATATTTTTCAAACCAATTGGTGAACATACAACCAACTAAAAAGTGCGGCGTGACGTGTTTAAGTTGTATTCACCTTGAAAAGAGGAATTTTTTTCTAGCAAAACGAAAAAACAAAGGTAAATCAAGGCAAAGAAAATTGCATATTGTAAGATTAAATCAAACACTTAAAGCATATAAAGATAATTGGCCAATTTTAATTGAGACAGAATATTTTGTTTGAAAAAAAAGCAGTTCGCACGTAGGACCTATCCCGTCCAAGGCATAATCGGTACCTCCAGGCTAAAGTCGCTGGGAACGGAAGGTTTGATATCATTATGGACCAAGATACAAGTGATTCAATAACTCTGTGAAACAAGGTTAACCCGGAAAAAAGTCTATATTCCAGCGTATAAATAATACTGAATAAGTTATGTTTGCCTTCCTTTGTTTTTTTTCACGTACCTTGCTATAATTTCACGAACAATTTCCGCCGCAACTGTGGTAATTTACTGCATTCAGCTCTGCTGCATATTCTGCTGTTAAAATATGTTGTTATTCTGTTTCTACTGTTTTACTTAGTTCCGAGTTTCAAATGAACCAACATTTTCCTCTTATTTTTGCTTTTGACATTTGTCAAGTTTTGATTTTATTACCGTATTTTCTCGGATAAGAACACCGTGGTTTATTCAATTGCCTTTTAATTGGTTTTTTCATTCGAGGGTGTCTTCATTTGTTATTCGTCTTCATTTGTTATTCATCTTAAAACTCTTGATCCTGACGGAACTTTAAGTTCGACAATCACCCTAGGAGTGCTTTTCAACGCTGATTTTTTTTTTATTTGTTCAAGATTGAAAATAAAGAACTTAAATTAGTAAGTTACAGAAAGCCCTTTACTTAGGGCTCTCCGAGATAATACGGCAATCCAAAAAAACCTTTAATTTAAAATCAATCCTTAAGTTCACTCATTTCATTGAGATCAATAAAAAGTTTGCACCCAAACTTCAATTTCAGGATTGTTTAAAAGCACCTGTACATATCTTGAAACACAAATAATTGAGTTCTTTCAAGCAGAACAGATCATTTTCCCTTGGCGGCTTTCTGTGCGCTCTTGGTAGCCTTTCCTGTCGCCTCAGTTTTCCTCACATCTTTGATAACGCCAACTGCCACCGTTTGTTTCATATCACGAACCGCAAATCTTCCCAGGGGAGCGTAGTCTGAGAATTTTTCAACACACATAGGCTTCGATGGAACCATCCAAACCATGGCTGCATCTCCGCTTTTAATCATTTTGGGGTTGTCTTCCAGTTTCTTAGCAGATCGTCTATCAATCTTTTCCGCGAGCTCCTTGAACTTGCAAGCTATGTGTGCTGTGTGGCAATCCAAAACTGGGGAGTATCCAGCATGGATCTCTCCTGGATGGTTCATGACGATGACTTGGGCGTAAAATTCTTTTGCTTCTTTAGGAGGATCATTCTTGCTGTCGCCTACAACCATTCCTCTCTTCACTTCTTTAACTGATACGTTCTTCACGTTGAATCCCACGTTATCTCCCGGCACAGCTTCGGTAAGTTGCTCGTGGTGCATTTCAACTGACTTCACTTCAGTACTCAACGCAGCGGGTGAGAAAGTCACAATCATCGCTGGCTTTAATACTCCTGTCTCTACACGTCCGACGGGCACTGTTCCAATACCACCTATCTTGTATACATCCTGGAGGGGTAGTCGTAGTGGCTTTTCTGTGGGTCTCGCTGGTGGCATAATGTTATCCAAAGCCTCCCTCAACGTTTTGCCAGTTGTGGTTACCTCCTCTTTCTTCTCGTTTTTTCTTTTGCAAGTCCATCCTTTGTACCAAGACATGTTACTAGACGGCTCAATCATGTTATCTCCGTGCCATCCTGAGATGGGAACGAAAGGAACTGAGTCAGGGACATAACCTATCTTCTTGATGTAGGTGGACACTTCTTTCTGAATTTCTTTAAACCTCGCTTCGCTGAAAGGTGGCTCTGTGCTGTCCATTTTGTTACAGGCGATGATAAGCTGCTTAACTCCAAGAGTGAATGCCAACAGAGCGTGCTCACGTGTCTGTCCATTCTTAGAAATTCCGGCCTCGAATTCACCAACACCTGACGCCACAATCAATACTGCGCAATCAGCTTGTGATGTACCAGTGATCATGTTCTTGATAAAATCCCTATGTCCAGGAGCATCAATAACCGTGACGTCATATTTGTCGGTTTCGAATTGCCACAGTGCGATATCAATAGTGATTCCTCTCTCCCGTTCTGCCTTGAGTTTGTCCATAACCCATGCATACTTGAAAGACCCCTTGCCAGTGTCCTGAGCATCCTTTTCGAATTTCTGGATCGTTCTCTCGTCAATTCCACCGCATTTGTAGATCAAATGACCAGTTGTTGTAGACTTGCCACTGTCTACGTGGCCAATGATAACGATGCTGACGTGAGTTTTGCCCTTCTTGTTCGCTGAGTCCGCTGCTTTAGGTGCCATTTTTGAGCAAGTGAATCACAAGACTTATCTGAAATTTTTTGGAATATTAGAAACAAGTTAGCTTTATATGGGAACAGCGTTATAATCAATTATGTTAAATGTAAAACGTAAATTATCATTAACAAAAGCAACTAGTCCAAAATTTTTAGAATCCAGTACGCAAATAAAATTTGCCTGTCTCCAATCAGCATGCCGTGTCCGCGTCACGTTTTATTGCCTTGCACCTAAAACAACCCAATCTCTGAATTTAGAATTCGTTGTCACTAATTGTGGGAACAAGCGTTCGATACCTCGAAGTCAATCCATCGCTAGCTTTACAACTACCCTTTAAATAGCAGCCTTACCAGAATACTGAAAAAGACCATTTACCAGACTAACTGAAATTAAAATTTCACAAGATAAAATTTAAGCAAAAAGTTTCCTTTAGATTAGCTCAAATACTGAGTCACACACCCTCAAAAATCTCGAGCCAAATGTAAGCGCCGCAGGGCAGAGCGGTCGCTGCCTGCCAATTCTCCGTTTGTTATTAGCGTTTAAAATCGACTGTATGTAAATTCGGTTAGGTTAAACAGCTTATCTTGTCTGGTAAAATTGGTCTGGTAACAAGTATTATCGAAGTTACGGTCAAAAAGCTAAATTACAGTCGAAACTGCTTATTTCGTTCACCCATTTCTGCTCAAGTGGGGTTAAAAAAATTGCTGTGAAAAAACAAATGTCACTCTTCCATCGCTAAAACAAGACTGGATATTTCACGTTGGCTACCTTATCCTTATTTAAATTGATTCTCGCTTACAATCTTGGCGCACTGGAAGCAGCTCTCCTCCAATTAATTTAATCGCCTTTCGCAGGCAACTATCAACAGCAATATCACTGAAGACTTAATCTGCTTATCCAGCAGCACCTACTGCTTCAAGCAGCATCAGTTTCGCCTATTCAGCTTGGCCGCCCGCACCATACTTCTCCTACTCAGCTTCAACCCGCAACATTATCACCTATCAGCAGCTTAATTTCTGGTCTGCTACTCAGCATCAGTTACTCCGAGACTTGTAATAGAAAATCTGATCCTTACATCTTTCAAGAGCCTCCAGATCTCGAGCGTGACCTGGATTTCGATTTCGACTTGGACTTGCTATCATTTGAACTTGATCGAGAGCGACTTCTTCTTCTTCTTTCGCGACTTCTACTTCGTGATCTAGATCTAAAATAAAGATGAAAATCAGAATAATAAGTATGGCAAAAATTATGCTCTGACCAGCATTCAGACCAACCTTTACATGCAACTATATTCAAGACTATATTCGAATAAGCGGTTCTACTTTTTCAACGGGACATCCACTGAATTGACAACATTGGTAATTCAGATTTTAACCCACACATGCCTATTGGTCAAAGTTTACTGAGAGTTGAAGCCAAATGTTTAACAGAGATCAAGAGAATATGTACTTCGAGGTTTTTAATTCAACGCAAATTTTGGATTTCTTTGCTATTGACGACTCCACCTTTTAACAAATTCATCAGACGTCTTAAAACTCTGATCTAAATTGAATCCTTAACTTAAATCCCTTAACTTTAAAACAATTTTCATTAAGCAGCAATCTGAAATGCAATTTCTCAAAAGAAACGAACATAAAAAAGCCACATACTCAAAATTGGTCGAAAATCGGAATAATTAATCGAGAAAAACCATCGAAAGTAAAAAAAAAGTAGATCTATAGAAACCCAAAAAAAATACAATAGGGCGAAATTTACCTCGGGAAACTTAACAGGCAATGAAATAGGGTCACTAACTTGATATTAAAAATGCAGAATCCTGAGAAAGGAAACAAAAATGAAGTTATTACATAGCGAGTTGGTAAAATTACAACCAACCTTAAAACATTTCAAATAGGCCGTATATTTAAAATGCTAACATGTTCAAAACATCTGTTGCAACAGAATGACCTAAAGGATGGATGCGTCCAGGAGTTATTTAGGGGATTGCAAAAGTAATCGATTGCAATACCCTTGCTTATCACAAGGGTAACAAGTTTCAGCTTGAAGGTCGTAATTATTTCAATTGACGTTGTCCGATAAATTTGTTCAAAGCTCGACTTTTATATCAATTAGCTCGTAATTCTATATTTGCCACTTTTCGGCACGTTGAGCCCTTCTGCTCTAATACCACGCCAACATGGACGATATATTGAAACCTTTCATGTTTTAATTTTTAGATTTCAGCTACGTGAAAAGGTACTTCAACTTTAAGTTAGTTGAATGGATCGGTTTCTGAAAAGCAAAAAATATTAACTAAAAACACTACAGGTTTTGCACTTTGCTTACATAAGCAAAAAAATGACCGATAACGCTCCTGGGAAAAACAAAGAAAACTTTGAATCTACATAATTTCGTAAGTGACGCATGCCAATTATTAGTCTATATAATTTTCAAGTGACGCAACCCAATTAGGAACGCATCAGCAGTACCAGTCATGCCTCAATTTACAGAGCGGAAGCATTTGTTTTAGTATACGAAAAAGTTCAAAACATCTGACCCTGCCCAGGTTCGCACCATCATTTGTTGCGAGTCTCCTTCCCTATCTCTACGCATCAATGATACCTTGAAGCTTAGGTGCTATTTGTAATATAATAGTGTTTATATCCATACCATTGCCTGCACCTCACTCAATAGCTGTTTATTCATCTTATGTACATTCTATTCTGCTATCGTAGAAATTTCAAACAGAACACTAATATTTGAGACTTAGGGTGAAAAAGAGTTCATATCATCACACTAATATTAACGACTTTTTCAACCCTATCACACAAGCTTCGCTTGGGTAAACATTCATTCTGAAATATTAATTTCTGTCGTAAAAAACCTTGAAACAGTATATTAGAAGCAAAAACAAAACACTAATGGACAAAATAAAGAGTATATTCAGGATTTTACTCTATTAAGTACCGTTTTTCAATGTCCATACTAGACAGCATTTCCTTTGCAATTAAGTTAATTTTTATTATTGACCAAGAGCAAATGACCAGAGAGTTACCCTACATTATCAACATTTAGTTTCCAAAACTTCAAAGTAATCCGGGCCTGAACAAAGCCAGTTTCCACTAAGAAACCGCCGTTTCAGTTACGGCTTTCAATTTGTCGGACGTATTAAATTTGAAATAATACAGAAAAAGGTCAGTGCACAAGCTGGATAGGGCCATACCAGCGTTATAAAAAAGGTCAGCAAATAATCATTTTATCAATAATCATCATCAAGTCATAAATCAGCATTAAATGCATCGTCGTAATGTTAATTTATCTTAGCCGTTCTTCATCTACAATAACGCTTATAGAGTAGTCAATTAACTAAACTTTGCGCAGCAATCTGCACCCCCTTATACATAGTATAAAGCTTGTGAGGAGCGCGAAGCTTAATTTAGTTATGTAGTTCATCGACTCTGGGTAGCTTTCTTTTTTCACCCTGTTTTTCTGCTAATCGCTGCATCGTCCGCGTGGCTGTTGGGGAGCAGTGCCACCGGTGCATCCGAAAATCAGCGGGCAGAAGCTACTTGGCTCTACGTTAAAAATCTTTGCTGATATTTGGAGTTCTTCAGCGTTTCGTGATTTTGTATGCGTCTTTACGCAGTTTTCGCAAGGGTTTGGCATGGTGGTTGAAAATTTTTACATCAAAGCGCGGCTAAAACGAAGAAAGCGCGGCTAAAACGTGAACTCCAGAGTCCGTTTGGTTTAATGTCAAATCGTGCTTCATCTTCAGTTGTAGTTGAATTGTTTACTGAGCTTTCGCCTTGCAACGACTGAAGTTTCGGCTCAATCTTGACGTCATGGCAAACCTCGTTGCTGAGGTTGGCGAATGTGTCTCTAATTTCAGAGTGGGGTTTTGGTCGGTTCCCATCCGTATCAAGTAATTACCATCTGAATATGGATTTATTCAGGTGGAAGTTGTATCTTCTTAGTTGTAAAACATTGAGCCAGTTAGAGGCCAGTTCGATTGCGTATTAATCAGTTTCAATTAAGGAGTTCATGAGGTTTTTGTTTTCTCTCGGTTTGTTCGATGAGCTTCCAATTTCTTTTTTCGAAAAAAATTTCTAGCTGTATTATTGCTGTAACGGGGGAAAAGGTTTTGAATTAACCATCGGTATAAAGTATAGAGAGTATAAAGTATAGTATTATTGCTGTAACAGGATCTTGAGATTACAGTACTTAGCCTATTCTAGATAGCTTTCCTGGTCGGATGGCAGCCCGTTTTAAGGGGTAAGGAAGATGTCACGGAACTGGGGTTAATGTGTCTTTACTTACTCATCGGAAAGTATTAGTTGTTCTTCTCACGTTTCTTAGTTTTCCATAGTATAAGGCGTTGTCCTGGTGAATCAAAGCTTTTCTTGAGAACTTCAAGAATATGCAGCTAAATACTGTATTAACCAATCAGAATCGAGATGAGAAAGCAAACTTTCGAAATTATTATCATTTATTAATTTCTACCTTGTCTCAATTCTCATTAGTTAATACATTTGTCTGCTTGCTGACGACTAGCAAAGCGCGGTTGTCTAAATACTGTTACGTTACCAGTTTTTCACACATTATGTGGGTCTAGGACAACAAGCCGAAGGGACTTCAGGCCGAAATTTAAACATTACAAGCACCTCAAACTTCAATTTTTTCATCTGTAAAACGTTGCTTTACAAAAATGTAGGCAAGTTTAGTCCATAAAAATCGTTATTCATGAAAATGAATCACTTAGGATTGGCATCCGTCAATAATTTCAGAGTTTTTGAAATGCATAAATTATAAACAAGAAAATTGCCTTTATCCGTGTTTTATATTTCAACTTTCCTAAACATCATTTGGAGGCTTAAATTTTAAGAAAAAGCCAATAATAACTTTAAAAAGATCATAAAAGTAGGAAATTCTTTTAAAAGGTTTTCAATTGAATCCTATTTCATCACTTAATGAGAAAATTTTCGGCTTGAAGTACTTAATTTTTCGATTCGGCTTGAAGTCCCTAATTTTTCGATACGGCTTGAAGTCCGGCAACCATATTATGTCAATTTTCTCGCAGGAACGACTGTTTTATTCTGATTATTCAAGAAAAAATTCATTACGATGCACAACAAAAACAGGCATTTCAGAATGTGTACTTAATTTTGTCTTCTAGTATAGATAATGCCAAAATGTTGGCAGTATCTTATCGATTAACGAGTCTAGGACATGTCGACGGGACTTCAAGACGAAGGAACTTCAGGCCAGGGATGTTCAAAAATTAATTGCAATTAATTTTTTGTTTTTTCCAAGGCAATCAATTAATTGTAATGGGGACTTTCTAGCAATCAATTATTGCTATTAATGGGCTTCCTCAATAAAACATTCTTTTCAAGAAAACAATTTAATGTTCTGCATTTTGAGGATGATTTATAACAAACTTCAGTGTCTTTCGGCTGTTGTAGAGGAATAACAGACATTCCAAGCTTGCCGGCAAAAGTCGATATCATTAACTCACTCAAAGAATTTCCAGGCTATATTAGGCCTACAATACTGTTATAATAAATGTTATTAATACGTGTTATTATTGCTAATTAAATGTTGCTCTACCATCAATTAATGGGTTTAGAAAAAACCGCCGTCAATTAATTGCATCCCATTAATTGCAATTAATTTTTTCTCCATTAATTTTCGAACACCCCTGCTTCAGGCCGATATTGAAACTAAACATACACCTCGAATCACTATTTTTTTTATCTGTAAAACGTCGCTTTAAAAAATTTAAGTCATGTTTAGACAAGAATAAGCGTTATTCATGACAATAAATCACTTAAGATTGGCATCCGTTCATAATATCGACCGGTTTTTGAAATGCATAAATTATAAAGAAAATTGCCTTACCCTGTTTCATTTTTCAACTTTCCTTAACATCATTTAGAGGCCTAAATATCATGTAAATAAAGATCATGCTATTGAGTATAATTCTTCAAAAAACGTTTTCAAATTAATATTTCATGACTTGACTAAAACTTTCGGCTTGAAGTCCCTAATTTTACGATTCGGTTGGAAATACCGTCGGCTTGAATACCCACCGTTATTACATCTGTCAATCAAATTTGATTATCGAGTCTGGTAAAAAGTTGTATTAAAACTTCTCTGGTTAATAGGGTCCGTCCACTCGGCACCCGATTAAAATGCTCAAAACTACCTCACTAAAGCTTTACATACCTTCGTCTGTCACGATCATCGTGTCTTCTGGATGAACCACCGTACCTTCGACGAGCTTCGTGTCTTGGATTATCTGGGCGATCATACCTAGCCATGGCTACTCTCAAAGGTCTGCCATCAAAATTTGCACCATCCAGATAATCGATTGCGTCTCGTGCATCACGTTTGTCGTAGTATCTAAATCAAGGAAAATGGGATTTAAAAAGTAATCGTAAATGGGTCTAGGACAACAAGCCGACGGGACTTCAAGCCGAAATTTAAACATTACAAGAATATCAAATCACTATTTTTTCATCTGTAAAACGTTGATTTTCAAAAATTTAGGCAAACTTAGTCCGTAACGACCGCTTTTCAAATTATACTCTTTAAAACAAGCGCTTTTCAAAAATTTACTTTCAACCGTGTTTCATTTTTCAACTTTCCTTAACATCATTTGGAAGCTGAAACTTTATGAAAACGCCAATAAGTACTGAAGGAAGATCATGAATGCTATGGTTTGTTTGTATGTGCAAAAAGATGGTTTAACAAGGGGCACCTCCCTTGCAGCAATACTGGCCAGCTATAAAAAAAAACTAAATTACAAAAGGGGCCCTTCCGTTTAGTTACGGTAAGTGCACAAGCTGGATAGGGCCATACCATCGATATAAAAATGCATATATATTAGCAATGAAGTCATAAATCAGCATTAAATGCATCGTAGTAATGTTAATTTATCTTAGCCGTCCTTCCTCTACAATAGCGCTTATGGAATTGTCGATAAATTAAACTTTGCGTAGCGATCTGCACCCCCTTATAGAGCTCCTCAGGAGCGCGAAGCTTATTTTAGTTCTTATGTAGTTTATAGATTCTGGATGGCTTTCTTGTCTTTTTTCACTTAGTTTTTCGACTAATCGCTGCTTCGTCCGCGTGGCCGTTGGAGCAGCGCATCCAAAAATTAGCGGGCAGAAGCTACTCTGCTCTACGTTTAAAATTCTTTGCTGATATTTGGAGTTTTTCAGCGTTTCGTGGTATTTGTATGCATCCTTATGCAGTTTTCGCGATGTTTTGGCATGGGGTTGAAAATTTTCACATCAAAGAAAGCGCGGTTGAATCGTGAACCCCAGAGTCCGTTTGCCTTAATGTCAAGTCGTGCCTCATCTTCAGTTGTAGTTGAATTGTTGACAAAGCTTTCGCCTTGCAGCGGCTGAAGTTTCGCCTCAATCTCGACGTCGTGGAAAACCTCGTTCATGAGGTTGGCGAATGTGTCTCTAATTTCATTGTGTCTTATGTGTGTGTAACCACCCTTTGCACAGTGAAGCGCATGTGTCAAGTTTAAATTAGCACCACATGCACATGTGAGTGGGTTTTTGGTTGTTTCCCATCCGTATCTTAAGTAAATATCTCTGAATTCTGATTTATTCAGGTTGAAGTTGTATCAGCTCAGTGGTAAAGCATTTAGCCATTTAGAGGCTCCCTTTTCAGAGGTTGGGTAAGACAGTGCCGAAGTAAGAGAGTGCCGAAAAGAAAAATTTGTTAAAGAGTGCCGAAAATGAAAATTTGTTAAAGAGTGCCGAAAATGAAAATTGAGTGCCGAGGTGGGTGTAATTAGTGTTTTCAGCGAGGCATGGCCCGCTAATATTTGGCAAGGACCATACGTTCGCTCCGCTCACTTGAATCCGATACGAGTGCTAGTTGTGTCTAAGGGTCTGTGATTCAGGAATTAAAGAACTTAGTAGCATTCTATCACCCAAGCGATTTGTTAAAGAGTGCCGAAAATGAAAATTTGTTAAAGAGTGCCGAAAATGAAAATTGAGTTTTGTTTGCTCAAAAAAGAAAAGAAAGTTTTGTTTGCTCATCGATTTTGGCGCCAAAATTGAGTCTGAACAAGTTTCAAGTGTCATTATTAATTTTCCCGCCAAAAGCTAGCCTCTTAAATTGCGTTCCAATATTTCCCGCCTTTTTCGGCACTCTCTAACTTCGGCACTGTATAACGCCCCCTTTTCAGAGGCCAGGTCGATTGCGTATTTATCTGTTTCATTTAAGGAGTTAATGAGATTTGTTATTCTTTTCGATTTGCTCTAACAGTTTTCAATTTTTTGATTTTCGTACTTATTTTTTCTGGCTGTGTTACTGCTGTAATAGTATTTATAGTGTTAGGCGTTGTACTGGCAAGAAATGAAAGCTTTTCTTGAAATCCTTTAGAATAGCAGGCATAAACGTTTTGAGGGGAGGTTTTAGCGATTTTCGTTAGTTTTTTCAAAATTTTCATTTGCTCATTCTGTTGAAATTCGAGGAATTTTTACATTCAGATTCTGTTTCTATAACTGAACCAAGCACTCGGGCTCCTGCCTTTATAACGATTCCTGTATTTGCGAAGATTTTCTGAGCTAACCGAGTTTTTCATCCTTGACAATTTGGATGCTTTCACGTGGTAGACGAAAAATTTACCCAGTGATACAATTTTATCGAGGACGGTTCGTAGATTGCTGAATTTACCGACTGCGTTTCCGTCGTCTGCGTATCATTTCTGGGTTACATCGTCTTCTGATAAGTTTTTTATTATTATCAATATATTGGATTTACATTTACAACGTAAATGAGGGAACTGTTAGTCCCGTAGATAAAGATTTGAGAGTAGTCTGACAGCACCTAACTAACAGGGTTGGGAATTGCAGATTTTAAAAAAATAACTGAAGTTTTCTGAAAGTTTTTGAAAAAATCTCAAAAAACGTCATATCTCGAAAACTACAACAATGAGCAGTTTTGTAAAAATTTTGGAAAAAAAATCGCAAAAAACGTCATATCTCGAAAACTACAAGGATTTGAACAGTCAAATTTGGAGGCAAGATTTGTAACTCCTCAGAGTACTCTTGACAGCACCCAACTACAGGGTTGGCAAGTTCAAGTTTTGTAAATTATTTTGAACTAAAATGATTCGGGCATTCAAAATTGGAGGCCAAAATCGCAACCCTATATATCGAACTCTATATATAGACGGTAATTCAAGTCCAATCCAGTCCATAAGTGATAATTTAAGTCAAGGGCTTTAGTTAAGTAAAAGACGTTCAATTTCAATGTTTCTCAAAATTGCTATGGGACTCGAATTCTTCTAGTTATGCTTTAAAATGCTTTGAACATACCTTACAAAGGCGAATCCTCTGCTCTCATGTTTGATCGGGTCACGAGGAATGTATATATCTCCAACACGCCCATATTTTGAGAAAGTTCTTTTCAATTCATCAACAGATGTGCGATACGTCAAATTATCCACTTTAAGAGAATACATTTCGGCAATATTGGGAGGCACACCATTTCCGCGGTATCTATCTCGTTCGCGACTCATTGCACTCTGAAAATGAAACAATACCTACGATAATCAGAAAGCATAAGAGATTAAATGCTTAAGTTTCACAAGCAGTGCAAAAAAACTTGAAATTAATTGGTAAAAAACATGACTCTTCGTTGAGCTGGAGGAGACGCTGTTGACAAAATATGTTCACATGCCCGTCGCAATCCGTATCGGTTGGTAATCGTCTCAGTGAACGAGAATTGATTGCATTTCGTGACGTAACCTCTGCCTTAAACATGGGTTTTAAATAATGGACCATATATGGTAAGACAAAATTGTTACGTGTCTTTAATGATGTGCGGTATCAGGGATTTTCTAATGCAAAACGAAATTTTGTAAACCCAAGAAAAGCTTAATTTTGTTTTGACCACAAGCATGATTTAAGAGTCGCTGAGAAAACAATCATCATTAATGATTTCAATTGAGAAGCTGATGAATTTTTTTATATTGTTTGCCGAGAAGTTTGCAGGAAAAACTCGTTGAACAATTCAAAACACACACCATGAATGAATATACAAATCGAGATAAAACAAGCTTCTCCTATAAAACAAGCATCTTCTTTCTTGTTCTATTAGACAGTTTTTAGCAAAAAAAAAAGGAAATTTAGGTCTTTTAGCAAAGTTTGAAAGACAGGGTGGCCAGTCAATAAGCAGAATGGGTTCAAAAGCAGAAAAAAAATTCTATTTTTTACAAGCTAATCGGTAAAATAAGTCTGAGGATTGTCAATTTTACCAAAGAAACGAACATTTTATTATTTTTGTACTATTTTGGAGGCATTAATCCTTTCTGGCTTCTTTATTTGATTGTAAACTTAGTTTTGTACTGAAACCATCTTTTTTTTAAATCGTTGTTTTTCAGAAGTCAATGGGTGTCAAGTTTAAGGTAAGTGAATGCACCATGTGCTCGATACTAAATTTCAAATGGAGAAGCAAATTTATGCCAATAGAGAGTCTCTCCTTCCGTACCGTGAACTCGATCTGCCTTCGACTCAATCATGTGCTCACGCTTTCCTGACAGAATCTTGTAGGATGCTTACCTCAGGTTTTTCAAGTTACTATGCTTTGTTTCTGTACGATAAGCATGACACGTTAAAGCGCTTATTAGCTCAAAGAAATTTGATGACGGAACATTTAACACACATTTTTTTTGTGTCCTATCTGTTTACTTGCAATCTGAATTTACATCTGGGAAATGCAACTAAAATCATCTCCCTGCCTGAAGAGTGAATCTATGATCATAATGACTTCGTGTGTTTTTTCCAGGAAGAAGTCCTAAAGTTTATTCACGCTAAAAGTTGATTTTTTGCTGTTTGACTTATGATGACTTTTCAAGTTTACTTCATTTCTTTTGTTAAATGAAGGCAAACTCTACCTTCGAATAGCATCAGTCAAAAGGTCACGAAAAACGTGAATGATTTCTAATTTCATAAATGGACGATACCAGTCGATTAAAAAATTACCTTTAGATCCAGTCTACTCTAAATGGGATAATTTTACAAAGAAGTGCCATTATTAAACAGTACTTGAAATGCAAGGAGCTTCAACGTGACATTTTTTCTTCGAAATTCGAAAAGTGAAAATTTTCTATCCAACTTTTTTGGTTAACTTGCAATTGCTGTAATCAATTATCAAATTGTATCAAGTTTTTTAGTTTTGCGGTTGTCGTTGAGAATTGTATAGAATTTTTGAAACCTAATTATTTTACTTCATCTGTTGCATCTAGCCAAGTTTCGGCTGAACATAAAAGTTTCGATTGAACATTAATTGAAGACTCGTGACTTCGAACTGCTTTTTTTCCTCATGCTATTTTTCTTAGGGACCTTGCATTAAACAACATGGTTCCAATTTAATTTTAGCTTTGCCAGTTTTAGCGAGCCTTTTCAACCTAAGACCTTTAGACAACACCATTGAAACAACCCATCGCACCATAAACAGTATAATTCAGAGTATCGCTTCCTTCATCTAACCCTGTAGTTTTGCACAGTTTGAAATAAATGTGAGAAAAAAAGGATTGCGCCTACTCCTGTCCCTGCTGATTTTATGCAGGCATTTGCCTTCATTGGCTGAAAAATCTGACTCAAGCCTTTCTTGATTTCCAAATTGCTAGCAATCTTTTAAATATCTGTCGAGGCATTTTTTAAAGTGGGTGGAATTTTCCCATTCGGCTACCAAAAGTGTTTGTTATTGGCTTGCCTGTCGTCAATCTCGATGGCAATGGATGCGAGATTGATAGGCATTTTCACGAATTGTCAGAGTCTATTTTAACGCTACATACAGTAATGGTTTGTTAGTAGCTTCCATTGTTCCTCTTTCGCCATCGTTTGCGTCTTTTTCGTTTTTCAATATTTCTCGTCTGCCATAGATTGCTCAGGAATTCCTAGTGCCTTCTACCGTTTTCTTTCTGTTCTTTTATTCAAGAAGTTTTGCATGAACAGTTTTTAGAGTTGACTTTTTTTTCAATTTTAGCTATTTCATTTCCCAGCCCACCCTTCCTTCTTCATTTTGGCTTCAGCAACTTTTGATTTGATTGTTCGGACTTAAGCAGAAAGTGACGGAATACTTCTGCTGGTGATGGTTTTTTTCTCGACAAGTTTCGACTTTTACCTAGCAATTTTTGACGTTTTACTTTATTTAAAGTAACTGTTGTCCTGAGCTCGAATTCTAAGAGATGTTGCACTCGTGGTCATATTTTGCGAAGTTATGCGCGGTTTAAAAATTGTTTTTTTTGGAACAATTAACGCGCAATATATTCCATGCTGTTAACGCGAAAGGGGTAATTTAATCTTTGTTAAAAATTGTTCTAAGTTGAATTGAGGTATGCTATTTTATCTATTTAATACTTTTCTACTTGCGAAATATATCATTTTTGTTTTTCACACAGCGGGTGTGTAATGGTTTGCAAAAAAAATCAAAAAAGCGTTTTGAATTCTTCCATGATTTGAATTCATTCAAGGTTTTTGCCGTGACACGAGCAGTGTTGTATGTAGTTCGATTTGACCTTTAACGTTGTTAAATTTAGAATTAATTGGACTTTTTTTTCTCAGGATGAAGTTTTCTTTTCCAAGCAGGAGTCCTAAAGATTTTTCACGCTTAATTTTGATTTTTTGACTTGAGACTTCTTGTCAAGTCCTTTTCAAACTCCTTGGTTAATTTAGGGCAACTCTACTTTTGAATAGCAAAAGTTAAAAGACCACAAAAAATGGGACTGATTTCTAGTTTCAAAAACCGACGTTACCAGTCAGTGCAACAATTACCTGTAGATCCATTTTTCTCTAAATGGTTTATTTTTACCAGCAAAGTGCCAATGACAAATAGTATTTGAATTGCAAAGAGCTTCAACGTGATCTATTTTTCTTCGAAAGATGAAAAGTGAAAAATTTAAATCAAATATTTTTGGTTATCTTGCAATTGCTCTATCCAGTTTTGGTAATTATTAAGTTGTATCAAGTGTATCAGTTTTGCAAAACTAATTAATTTACATCATCTGTTGCATCTGGCTAAGTTACGGCTGGCAATAGAAGCTTCGATTCAAGATTAATTGCAGACTTGTGACTTTGAACTTCTTTTTCAATCCTCATGGCGTTTTTCCTAGGGAACTCGCATTAAACAAAATATTTTCAATTTGTTTTCAGCTTTGCCATTCGTAAGCAAAAAGGTTTCAATTAATTTAGCTTAGCGAGCCTTTTCAATCTAAGACGAGCCTTTTCAATCGAAGGCCTCTGACTAACACCATTGATACAAGCCATCGCACCGTAAATAGTATAGTTTAGAGTATCACTTCTTTATCTAATCCTGTAATTTTGCACAGTATGAAATAAATGTGAGAAAAAAAGGGTTGCGCCTACTCCTGTCCCTGCTGATTTTATGCAGGCATTTTTCTTCATCGGCTGCAAAATCTGACTCAAGCCTTTCTTGATTTCCAAATTGCTAGCAATCTTTTAAATATCTGTCGAGGCATTTTTTAAAGTGGGTGGAATTTTCCCATTCGGCTACCAAAAGTGTTTGTTATTGGCGTGCCTGTCGTCAATCTCGATGGCAATGGATGCGAGATTGATAGGTATTTTCACGAACTATCAGATTCTATTTTAACGCTACATACAGTAATGGTTTGTTAGTAGCTTCCATTGTTCCTCTTTCGCCATCGTTTGCGTCTTTTTCGTTTTTCAATATTTCTCGTCTGCCATAGATTGCTCAGGAATTCCTAGTGCCTTTTACCGTTTTCTTTCTGTTCTATTATTCAAGAAGTTTTGCATAGACAGATTTTAGAGTTGACATTTTTTTTCAATTTTAGCTATTTCATTTCTCAACCCACCCTTCCTTCTTCATTTTGGTGAATGATTTCTAGTTTCAAAAACGGACCTTACCAGTCGGTTAAACATCTACCTATAGATCCATTTTCCTCTACTTAGAATATTTTTACTAGCAAATTGCCAATGATAAACATATTTGAAATGCAAAGAGCTTCAACGTGATTTGTTTTTCTTGGCAAGATGAAAAGTGGAAAATTTAAAGGAAATTTATTTGGATAACTTGCAGTTGCTCGTACCAATTTTCTTGGTTATCATATTGTATCAAGTTTTTTAGTTTTGCGGTTATCATTGAGAATTGCAAAAGAAAATTGAAACATAATTATTTTACTTCATCTGTTGAATCAAGTTTAGGCTGAACATAGAAGCTTCGATTGAACATTAATTGAAAAGTCGTGACTTCGCACTGCTATTTTTCCTCATGATAGTTTCCTTAGGGACCTCGCATTAAACAACGAGATTTCAATTTGTTTTTAGCTTTGCCAGTTTTAGCGAGACTTTTGAACCTAAGACCTAAAGACAGCACTATTAAAACAACCCATCGCCTCAACAAATCAGTACAAATCAGAGTATCACTTCCTTCATCTAGCCCTGTAATTTTACAGTTTAAAATAATTGTCGAAAGAAAGATCGCGCTGATTTTAATACTCTTTTCGGTGCTGATTTTATGCGCGCATCTGCGTTCATTGGCAGCAAAAAGTTGACTGGAGCCTTGCATAGATCTCCGCGTTTCCCAAAGGTTTTTTAAATTATTGTCGAGGCAGTTTTGTAAAGTAGGTGGAATTTTTCCATTCGGCTATTAAAATGGTTTGTTATTGACTTGCCTGTCGTCAATCTCGATGGCAACGAATGCGATAATGATAGGTATTTTCAGTAACTATCAGATTCAATTCTAACTGCTACATAAAAACCATGATTTTTTAGTAGCTTCCATTGTTTCTCTTCCGCGATCGTTTGCTTCCTGGTTTTTTCTCGTCTGTCATAGACTGCTCAGGAGTTCTTAGTGTCTTTCATCGTTTCTTTTCTGTTCTATCATTCAATAAGTTCTCCATGGACAGTTTTTGGAAATTTTTTTTTCATTTTTAGCTAATTCATTTTCTAGCCCACCCTTCTTTAGAGTTGACCTTTTTTTTCAATTTTAGCTATTTCATTTCTCAACCCACCCTTCCTTCTTCATTTTGGTGAATGATTTCTAGTTTCAAAAACGGACCTTACCAGTCGGCTAAACAATTACCTATAGATCCACTTTCCTCTAATTAGAATTTTTTTACCAGCAAATTGCCAATGATAAACATATTTGAAATGCAAAGAGCTTCAACGTGATTTGTTTTTCTTGGAAAGATGAAAAGTGAAAAATTTAAATCAATTTTTTTGGTTAACTTGCAGTTGCTCTAACCAATTTTCTTGGTTATCGTATTGTATCAAGTTTTTTAGTTTTGCGGTTAGCATTGAGAATTCTAAAAAAATATATGAAACCTAATTATTTTATTTCATCTGTTGCATCTGGCCAGGTTTCGGCTGGCCATAGAAGCTTCGATTCAACATTAATTGAAGACTCGTGACTTTGAACTGCTTT